GTTACATCTTATATAATAAAAAAAATAATAAAGTACTATACAATATTTACAAGTAGAGGGGAAAAAAACTGAAAGAAAAAAAAAATTAAATATGAGAATGAAATACACCAAATCAACCATTAGACCAAATAAAATAAAATAAAATATTAGATATATCTATGCGGACTCTTACAAGTTGAGTTTATGGATAGGCTCAAATTATAAATTTTTGTCTAAAATCTTAAATTATTTTTTATGAGTAAAAACAGGCTAAGCATTTAAGGCACCGTTTGGGAAGAAGTTAGTTGGGCTTTTTTTGACTATTTTAGCCACAAAAAATAAAATAAGCTATTTTAGCCATATCAAATAAAATATCACATCCAATCCATAATCATTACACTTTTCTCTCACAAAAAAAGTCAAAAAAGCCAAAAAGCCCTTCTCAAACTAAGCTTTTTAGCCCAGGCTAAAATAGCCAAAAAAGTCAAAAAATCAAAAAGCCAACTCACTTCTCAAACGGAGGCTAAGTGGTCTGAGACGGGCTATTGAAACAAGTGAGACGAGTTGAATTGCAAGTCATTTTTGGAACCCTTAGGCACCTACAAGAGCAAAGAGAAAATGACCCAAAGAAAGTGTTTTAAAAAATAATAATGTTAAGTATTATGAAAAGTTTTTTATGAAAATAATCATGAAAAATTTGTGACTTTTGAATTACACATAAAATAAATATCACACACTAATCAATGTAATTTAAAAGTTACAAATCTTTCTTGATCATTTTTATGAATTTTTTTTTATAATGCCTAACATTTCTCTTTAGGAAAAGGAGAGTGGAGTCACAGGGACATCTACCAAAGGAGAGAGGAAGTGAGAGTTGTTTAGAGACACAGAAAATGAGAGTATTTTGGTAAGAGAAAAGTGGAGTCACAGCGACACTTACCACAGAAGAGAGGAAATGAGAGCTGTTTAGAGAGAGAGAAAATGAGATGTAACGTTTAGGGCTGAGCAAGTGATCCGTGAAATCCATAATCCGATCCAGTCTAGTCCAATCCGATAGGTTTGAATTGATTTTTTGAATCCGGGGTTCGGTTCCGGATTGAAGAATTAAAAATCCGTAGTTTACGGATTGGTTCCGGATTGAACCCCACGGTTCCGGATTGGAACCGATCCGAACCGTATACAAATAGTCTATATTTTTATTATACATCCTCCCCCATAGTATCTTCTCTTAATTCTATATAAAATCTAAACTCAAACCTAAAACCGTATAATATCTTTTTTTATTACTCTTGTTTGTTGGTTTTTAGTTTTAAGTTGTAATGGTTTAAACACTTATAGTGAAACCAATTTTCTTATGGTTGTTTAAATTTTAGAACAGTATGTCGCTATTATAGAAAAATATGTTGCTATTGTGGAACTAATATAGCGCTATGTTTATATTTTTATAAAATTAAAGTGTTATAAATATATTTTTATTATTTAATTATGTGAATCCGTGGTTATAAACCGATCCAATCCGTATTTAAATGGATTGGTTCGGATTGGTTCCATGATTTAAACGGATTGGATTGGTTCCAATTTTTTAGGAACCGTAGATAACGGATTGGTCCTGGTTTTATCCCAATCCGGTCCAATCCGAACCATGCTCACCCCTAGTAACGTTTGATAAAGTTTTAAAATTATGATTTGAGAATAAAATTGTATTTTGAGTTTGTGAGTTTTGAAATTATGATTTGAATGTGAAAAATTAATTTGACAATAAGTTTTGAAAAGAGTTTTAAATTGAGTTTGAAATGAATGATGTGGCATATGATATTTGATTTAAAAATTTATAACTACACAACTCAAAATTCTATTCAAAATTCATAAAAAAAAATTAAAAAAATTCAAAAATATTTTTAATTTAAAATCTAAAAATAATAAGTGCAAAAAAAAAAAAAACGAATACTGTTCTGGTCAATCCGCCGGATGTCCGGGGGATGACCGAGTAGACAACCAAGTAGATGAGTTTTCAAACGCAAGTGTAGAAATGATTTTTGAAAACTCTATCCAAACGAATGGTGCAAATGGAAATGTGAAATTATGATTTGAGAGCTTCACCAAACATAGCCTTTTGAGCTGTTTAGGAAGAGTGTGACAACCACCTCCTTAATTAAGTAAATTAATTAAATTGATTATGTGCTTATTGTTAATTATGTGCTTATATGTTATAAAGTGTTATTGTTATGCCATGTGATTATTTGAATTGTGTTATTGTAGATAGATAGATTAAAGTGAATATTAAACCTGTCCGATTCGTTTTAAAAAGTTAAGATTAAATCATAGGATAAGAATTAGAGCCTAATTCACATAAATAAATTTTAGTGTAATTGAGATCATAATATGATGAGATTAATTTAATTTGAGTGATGTTGAATTTAATTTAATTTGCACCTTAAGTGTAAGTCTTGAAAATAAGAAGCTCATTACATCCCCTTAGACCTATTTTATAATCAACCAAGAAGAGAGTGGGTGCTTGGTTTTGATCTAGAGAGAGAGAGAGAGAGAGAGAGAGAGAGAGAGAGAGAGAGAGGAGAGCTTTGTACATTTGAACTCAAGAATAAAAGAAAGAGAAAGGAAAATAGGTGCTTGAGAAACCTTTGTAACTATACTCTAATCTTCACAATTGACTTAGTAAAGGTAAGAATTCTCTTCTCTAATCTCATGAAGTTGAAGAATCATGCTCATAACTTATAGAATTCAAATTAAACAAGATGAATTTGGGGTTTAAGTGAAAGGATGTGTGAATGTTATTGATAGATAATACATGCATGTATTGGTAAGAAAAAATTGATCAACTTCACTTCATATGGTTACATGCATGGCATAATTTCATGGAAATTTGGTTGCATTCATATAAATTCTTCCATGGTTCTTTAATTGAGAGGGACCTCCAAGGAAGTTTGAATTTTAGAGCTTACACTTGCATGGTTTATGCATTTACATAACAAAGTAAGGATTTGATTTCTCCATTACAATTTGAGGTGAATTACCATGAGAATTGAGCTTAAATAGATGAATGCCATACATGCAAGCATATATTATAGCATTTTGAGTTTGAATTTCACATAAGTCTCACATGCATGTGTCTATCGTACCTTTATTTTGAGAATTTGTCTTGTTTAATAACATTTCATGCCAATTAATCAAGATAAAGCATGCATGTTATTTTTTCAACGAATTGAATGTTGTTTTGCACAATTGGCAAGTTTTTTGGGCCTCGATTTTGTAAAATGATTTGAATTCATGATGTTTTCCAAGTTTATATACGTTTTCTCAAGTTTTGGGGCCAAAAAGTTGCATTTTGAGACTTTGAATTTGAGTTTGAAGCTTGGGAGTGCAATCTGGAAATTTCTGAATTCTACACCTCTGTTCGAGCGACAGATCCTTCACTCGAGCGACCACCTTTGTTTTAGCACCTCCGCTCTAGCGACAAAAAGTCGGCTCGAGCATAAAATACATGCTCCCAGAAGATTACATATTTTTTACAGACCGCTCGAGCGACAAAAGTTACGCTCGAGCGAGGACCTGAGTCTTACGCTCGAACGAGTGTCGAACGTAAAAATCGCACACCAGTACTTTTCCAGATCGCTCGAGCAGTCACTCACATTTCTGCATGTCTGCTAGAGCGAAGGAAGTTGCGCTCGAGCGAGACCCCTGTTTTCAGCAAGTTTTGTCAAATGTGTGTTCAAGTGCATTTTGGCATCCTCATTGCATCCTAGGCATTCCTAAGTGAAGATTAAGACATCATAATGAGGATAAGAAGTAAAAACACACCAAGATAAGAAAGGATAAAGTTAATGATTACGAGTGTGTAATTCAGTACGTATTCGTTTTGTAACTGTGTAGGTTACGCGCCTCAAGACATCTCTATTTGCTTTGGAGCCAACTGTGAGTAACAATGTTATAAAGTGATATTCAATTAAAATTATTTTCTGAATGATTAACCGTACTGCTTTCTGAAATGACATAGTTTACCGAATGAATATTTGTTCTATTTTATGAACTGTACTCGTGGCATCCATAGCAATTGACTATTACTGTTATTATTATTGTTACTGTTACTGCTAATGTTACAGAGATCTCTATCAGTTCTAATTTTTGGAACTACTGTTTACTGTTTAATTGACTATTCAGTCTTCTAAGACCTATTGTATTATTCTGCTATTGGATGTACTACACATGACTGCTATGCTTTCTAAATGACTGATATGACATGAAATTTGAGATATTGATCGAATAAATGATCTATTGATATAATTGACTGATTTAAATACTGAAAGGACATTCATTCTCAATCCCTTTACACATTTGTTATTCACTAGACTTTAGCTCATTGGTTATATATATATATATATGTATGTAGGTGATCAAGCACCAAATCGATCTTAGCGGGGTCGACCTGAACCCTGTTTTGTCAAGCCAACTATCGTGCCTCACTGCAAGGTTTAAACCGTTATGTGTTAAGGCTTTTGGGTATTTCAGTTTGCCCATCTGAAAATGTGATCTATGTTACAGAGTTTTTGTTTAAGACTTTTGTGTTGACCGCTATGTTTTTGGGATTTAATCCCTAACTGTGGACTATGTAAATATCTGTATATATATATATATATAAAGGTTGTTTATTCATTTAAGTCATCACAACTCTTTGGACATTTTATTTTAATATTTACAAGCTTCCGTCGGCCCCTCTTATTGTATAAATGTTACTACTATTAAGCAGGCCTCAGGTAATCACAGATTACTGGCCAATTACGATCCTAAACTCTTAGGGACGGGTTTGGATTGTGACAGAGTGATATCAGAGCACGAGTTATACCACACACACGTGTCCAAATGAGTTATAGGATGTCCTAGAAATGCGATTAGGGCATTGCATGAGCATAACTGAGTGTGTGTGGACATGTTATGTGTATATGTGCTAACACGAACAAGTAAACCATCTTTCCTATGTTTATTATTACCGTGTTTTATCTAGTGCAATGGAGAATACAAGAAATACAGATGAAAATGAATCGTCCGAAACAAGGATTGCAAGATTGGAAAGGATAGTTGAATTATTGACTGAGACTCTAGGACAACAACAGAACCATCAACCCCCACCTCCTCATCCGCAGCTACCAGTGCAGCTAGAACCAAATGCCAATGCTAATGTTATTACTTTGACACAAAAGTTTAACAAAATGAAGCCACAAACATTCCATGGAGGTCTTGAGCCACTGAAAGCCGATGCATGGATCTTAGAAACTGAAAAATTGTTTGAAGTATTCCCGTGTTCAGAGGTGCAGAAGGTGCTATTGGATACTTTTAGTTTACAAGAAGAAGGCAGGCGGTGGTGGATGCTTATTCATGATACAAACAATATTATGACTTGGGCTCAGTTTAAAGAAGCTTTTTATGATAAATATTTTCCTTAGTGCGTCCAAGACCGCAAAATATCTTAATTTGAACAACTGAAACAGGGTACCATGTCAATAGCAAAATATGAAACCAAGTTCACCGAGCTCGCCCGCTATGCGCCATACATGGTAGATACCGACTATAAAAAAAAGGCTAGAAAATTTGAGGGTGGACTTAATGTGGAGATATTAGACCGGATCAATGTTCTGAAATTACTCAAGTATGTGGATGTCCTTGACCGAGCTATCATAGCTGAGGCAAATATTGCAGCATTGAAACAGGCTAAGACGCCAGTGATTGAATGGCGGGGCAAGAGAACAAGTTTTAATTTCAAAAAGGGTCGGAACAACTCATGGAATAAAAAGCAAAATACAGGGTCAACCAGTAGTTCCAGTCAGGGGAATAATTCTATACCACCTTGTCCAGAATGTGGCAGAAGACATAAAGGGGTTTGTTACAAAATTTCTAGGGCATGTTACAGGTGTGGGAAGGTGGGCCACTTGGTCAAACATTGTCCTCTCATGTCTCAAGGCACTAGTAGACCCATAGCAAGTGCTGCAATCTTAAGGCGACTGGTAGAGAAACTTTGAGACAAGGCCGGGTGTTTGCACTTGTATCAGGAGATGTGTAGAATACTGAAACAATTGTGTTAGGTATACTTCCAATTTGTGCTCAAAATGCTTATATTTTGATTGATTCGGGATCTACACATTCGTTTGTCTCGCATGCTTTTTCAAGAAAATTAAATAGACCACTAGAACCTATGAACTATTTATTAGCTGTATCTTCACCTACTGAGGGGTCCATGCCTTGTGCTTATATGTATCCTACATGTGAGATTTTTATTGGAGATGTGATTTTATATGTTGACTTGTTGCCTCTGTCTCTTGATCATTTTGATATAATTTTGAGGATGGACTGGTTAACAAAAGATCATGCTTTCACTGATTGTGTAACAAAACAAGTTATTTTTCTGGATTGCCTGAATTTATATTTAACGGAGTTGGTGTCGTACCTCCCTCATACTTGATTTCATCTATGAAAGCATGCAAATTGATTAAAAATGGGTGTAAAGGGTATTTGTGTTGTATTTTGACTGTGCCTACTGATGATAAAACTAATGTGGACAATATTCCTATAGTTAGAGAATTCCCAGATGTGTTTCCAAATGATTTTTCAGGGGATTTGATTGACAGGGAGATTGAGTTCATTATTGAGGTGATATCGGGCGCACAACTAATTTCCAAAGCTCTGTACAGAATGTCACTTACTGAATTGAAGGAGTTGAAAATTCAATTACAAGAACTGTTGGACAAGAAATTTATTAGGCCTAGTACATCACCGTGGGGCGCACCAGTCTTATTTGTGAAAAAGAAGGATGGCTCATTACAGCTCTACATTGATTACCGTGAATTAAATAAGGTAACAGTGAAGAATAAATATGTGTTGCCTCGCATTGATGATTTATTCGACCAATTGCAAGGTGCACAAGTCTTTTCCAAAATCAATCTTAGATCTAGATACCACCAATTGAAGGTCAAAGCTGAGGACATTGAAAAGACTATTTTCTGAACAAGGTATGGACATTATGACTTTCTTGTTATGCCTTTCGGAGTTATTAACACGCCTGCTGCATTTATGGATCTCATTAATAAAATTTTCAAGCAATTTCTCGATGAATTTGTGGTTGTTTTTATAAATGACGTTTTGATTTATTCTAAAAGCAAAGAAGAACATGAATATCATTTGATAATTGCTTTACAAACCTTGAGAGAGCAGAAATTATATGCAAAACTGATAAAGTGTAAATTTTGGCTTGATAGTGTTATGTTTTGGGGGCATGTAATCAATAAAGATGACATTTCAGTTGACCCACAGAAGATTGAGGCAGTTGTTAATTGGCCTAGATCCATCAATGTTACTGAAGTTCAGAGTTTCTTGGGTTTGGCTAGATATTACCAAAGATTTGTGAAAGACTTTTCCAAAATTGCCTTGCCTTTGACTCAGTTGACGCAAGGAGTGTCGTTTGACTCAAGGTTTTAAAAACCGAATCGGACCGGTCGAACCGACCAGTTGAACTGTCGACTGGTCGGGGTTTCGGTTCGGATACACCCACTAAACCATTCGATGTAAAAAACCACCTATTTTGAGAGAACCGAGAAACCCGATGGTTGAACCGCCGAACCAGTCGACTCGGTGGCGGTTCACCTGGTCAAGAAAATCAAATTTTTGTTTTCTTTTTCTTTTTATTCTTTCTTTCTTTCTTATATATATATATATATATATAACAAAATTTTAATTGGAAACTCTCTTTTAAGGGTCTCTTCTTGTGAGGAATCTCATTGAGAGCTTGAAATTATTGTGAAATCCTCTATCTATTTATAAGAAAAAACTTCTTCCAAAAAAACTCAAGAAATCTATGTGGGATTCAATCAAATTTATTGGAGGTAAACTTAAAATTTTGATATTCCTCCAAAACTGTTGTTTTTCTTTCAATCAAATTATTTGAATTAAAATCATATGGAGGAAATATTGAATATTTGATTTCTTCTTCCAAAATTAAAATTAATAATATTTTAAAATATATTATTATATTTTTTATATGTTTTTTAGTAAAAAAAATATTAGGAGAAATATTTAAGATAATTTAATATTTTTAATTTATAATTTTTTTATTTATATTTTTATTTAAATATAATTTTAATATATTTATTACGTCACGGTTCGATTCCGATTCAACCTAACGGTTGAACCGGCAACCTGTCCACCCGATCCTTTTTCTGGTTCACTCACTGGTCTGGTTTTTAACACATTGGTTTGACTGGATCGATCAGAGAGAATCAGCCTTTCAAGAATTGAAGACTCGACTTGTGACTGCATTGATTCTCACCTTACCCTCAGGTACGAATGGATTTACTATTTTCCAGTTTACTGATCGATCCGATTTTTAAAACATTGGTTTGACTGGACCGATCAACAAGAATTAGCCTTTCGAGAATTGAAGACTCGACTAGTGACTGCACCGATTCTCACCTTACTCTTAGGTACGGATGGATTTACTATTTTTAGTGATACTTCTTATAAGGGTTTGGGGTGCGTATTGATGCAAAATGACAAAGTAATAGCATATGGTTTCCGACAACTGAGGCCACATGAAAAGAATTATCCGACTCATGATTTGGAGCTTGCCGCGGTGGTATTTGCATTGAAGATTTGGCGCCACTACTTGTATGGGGCAACATGTGAGGTTTACATAGACTACAAGAGCTTAAAATATTTCTTTACCCAAAAGGAATTGAACATGAGACAACGGAGGTGGATGGAATTGATAAAAGATTATGACCTGCAAATCTTATACCATCTCGAGAAAGCTAACACTGTCGTCAATGCGCTTAGTCGGAAATCAATTGGGAGTATGGCTTGTTTACTTACTGGGCAAAAAGAATTGTTACAAGATCTTGATAAATTTGAAGTTGAAATTGTTTTAAGGGAACAAGGTGGGACATTAGCTGCTATTTCGGCATGTGAGGTTTACACAGACTACAAGAGCTTAAAATATTTCTTTACCCAAAAGGAATTGAACACGAGACAACGGAGGTGGATGGAATTGATAAAAGATTATGACCTGCAAATCTTGTACCATCTCGAGAAAGCTAACACTGTCGTCAATGCGCTTAGTCGGAAATCAATTGGGAGTATGGCTTGTTTACTTACTGGGCAAAAAGAATTGTTACAAGATCTTGATAAATTTGAAGTTGAAATTGTTTTAAGGGAACAAGGTGGGACATTAGCTGCTATTTCGGCTCAATCAGCGATCCTTGAAGAAATTAAAGAAAAACAGTAACAAAATAAATTTTTGAAAAAGATTATTGATGAACGGGAATCCAAACTGAGGCCGGATTTTGTTTTTGAGAATGGTGTGTTGAAATTTCAAGGCAAATTGTGTGTACCAAATGATGTTGACTTGAAAAAGTGAGTTTTGCAAGAAGCCCACAGTTCAAAATTTTCTATTTACTCGGGTAAGATGAAAATGTACCAAGACTTGAAGCTTAATTTCTGGTGGCCAAGAATGAAGAAGGAAATTGCAGAATTTGTGTCTAAGTCTCTACACTACCAACAAGTCAAAGCTAAGCATCAACAACCTGCGGGATTGCTTCAACCACTGCCAATACTGGAGTGGAAATGGGAGCATATCACCATGGATTTCATTATTGGACTACCTCGCTCCAATAGAGGTATGGATTCAATTTGGATAATTGTTTATCTTTTGACTAAGTCTGCTCATTTCTTACCTGTCAAAACAATTTACAATGTGGATAAGTTGGCTACAATTTACATTAATGAGATTGTTAGATTGCACGGAGTGCTTGTGTCCATTGTTTTTTATAGGGACTCGAAGTTTACATCAAGATTTTGGCAAAGTTTGCAAATGGCATTAGGAACTGAATTAAGATTAGGCAGTGCATACCATCCAAAGACCGATGGCTAGTCAAAAAGAACAATCCAAACTTTAGAGGATACGTTGCGTATGTATGTACTTGATTTTCAAAGGAATTGGGAAACTCATTTACCTTTAGCCGAATTCGCCTACAATAATAGTTTTCATTCAAGCATTGGTATGGCGCCTTTCGAGGCTTTATATTACAGAAAATGTCGGTCTCCTATTTGTTGGGCAGAAGTTGGAGATGGGCCTTTATTTGGGCCTGAAATTGTGCACGAAACAATGGAAAAGGTGAAGTTGATTCAACAACGATTGAAAACCTGTAACACCCTGAAAATAAGACATAATCATCTATTCATAAATTCCATAAAACATAATAGAAATGTTATATATTACATCCATCAGATTATTCTTTACAAAAGATATTAAACAAATAAATGCCCTACGAGCTTTCAGTTTTCCAAGAGATAATTTGGTTGCATCAAAAGAAGAGTTCTAACTCTTTTACATGTAAAGCCCTCGGCTTAGATTTACATTTAAATACAAAATAACAACATAGCAAAACGAAGCCCCTCAGCTCCTAAACCTCCCAAGCTATACCCTTGGAAGTAGCATGTCACCTGTACCTAAAAATAGTGTCCCAAGTAAGGTGAGCCAAAGCCCAGTAGAGATATGCTAAACAGTATATGAAAATTAACTAAACCATTAGCGTCCGATAAATGTTTAACACTTGTAAACCAACTTACACCCTTTTCATAACCAATCAATATTGATATAGGTCATTATTATCCAAACAATTCAAAATGAGACTACATCTCATATATCGACAATTCAATCATAAACATCATTCGTACACTTTCATTCACTTCCCATTTTACGGAACTACATCCGAGAGAACCGGCACCCAAATATATATAAGATTTCGGGACTTTCACCCTAAACACTCCGGCCAACTTAATTATCATTGGAGTCCATCCTCTATCTCCTCTCAAACAATGATACATATGCAATGTATTTAAACACGTTGTCATACAATATGACCAATTAAATCACATATTCAATGTGTTAATCCAACCATCATATTCAATGACATAATCTAATTGATTAGTTTCAATTTACCTAATCATCATGCAGTTTCTACAACAATCATGGCTATCCTCCACCGATAACCCAAAACAGCTATTTCTAAACAGATAAATAAATCTATCAAACAGATAATTTATCAACTTTTCCATAGGTGAGTGATTTATCAATCTAATTACACCATTTAATCACATTTTCCCCCAATTTCACAGTTTCCAAACCAATTTCATATTTCCACAATTGATTTCATTACTTATAAACATAATTTATATAATTCCAATTAGGCCATTTTTTCCCCTTTTCTCAATATTGCACCCAAGGCCAAATTTCACCCACTACACACAAACAACTCCATTTTTAAGACCTCACATACATATGGAGCCCAAAAATAGAAAACGTTTTTTTCATAATTTCAAACTCAAACCCTAATTTTACCCAAACTTTCCAAATCCCACCATTTATACAAATTGACTAATATTTATGTCAAAGCTCATATTAAAGAGTAGATTATCCCTACCTCAAATGGAGAAGCTCAAAGGAGAAGGACAGAGAAACCCAAGATGCTCCAAATCTAAACTTTTTCAAATCAAAAGATAGCCCACGCAATACTCTAGCTTTTTAACAAAGAGAGTAGGGTAGAAAGACCCTAGAACAAGGTGTATTTGTAGAGAGAGAAAGAGTTTAGAGAGAAGAGCTGCCGATTTAGGGTTTTTGAAGAAAAAGAGGGTCAAAAAATAGTGTATTTCATCTTTGCTGCGAATTGATATATGCAAGGCTCACTCGAGCGCAAGAAGCATCGCTCGAGCGAACAATGCGAAGCTTCAATTCTGTACCAACGCAGGTGCACGGTCAAGCGCAAGAAGTCTTGCTCGAGCGAAGAAACGATTCTACAAGGCTCGATCGAGCAAAGAATGCTAACCTTCAGGTCTTACAGAGACGCAGACGCAGACGCAGACGCAGACGCAGACGCAGACACACGCTCGAGCGTAAGAAGCCTCGCTCGAGCTAAGAGAGACGCACCACACAAGGCTCACTTGAGCGCAAGAAA